CGAGCCTCCTGAAACGTCATCCTGAAGCTTCTGCCACATTTCGTCTCCCACCACACAGTGGGTAGATTCAGTGAATGTAAACGTGTCAAACGGAACCCCCGCTGCTTGCCGTTTTTTCGTCACGCTGTTTAACGAGTTTTTAATGTTGCTGGAAAAGTACTGTAGCTGGCTTATTTGCTGCGGGGTGCACTTCTTTAAGTGGGAACCGAGGCAGCGCCACAAGCGGGTTGGCTTTCCCCTTCGCCTTGGCGACATGGCGATCGCGACGGCCTTATAGTCACCAGCGAGTTCACGACGAACATTGGCGATTTGAAGAACTTGAGATTGTATTCGGGAAGAAACACTTCCACGTGGAATCACTTGGTTGCATGGCTGAGAGGAGGGGGAGGAGAGAGGCCGAGAAAAAACTGAGGGTTAAGTGATTTGGAGATAGGGGAATGGAGAGGACGGACTCGCTTCAAGGCGAGAAGAAAAGCGATAAGGAAAAGTCAAGTAACATTGACAGTGAGAGTGTGAGGAAGGGGAGGAAAAATTGAACACTCACCACCATAACAGACAATCATCCATGCCATGGTGAATTTTCTGAACTCACCATCCTTGCAGTCGCCGTTGATCCCAATCCGGTCGATGTCATGCAGTGTTGCCAGCCGCTGCACCTTCTCCCGCAGCGACCGCTCGCCGTTCACATCCACCACGTCTGTCGGGCACAGCGAAAAGGGGAGATGCGAAAATCGAAAACAAAAGAAACAACAAATTAACGGGGAGTGTTGCCAGCCGCTGCACCTTCTCCCGCAGCGACCGCTCGCCGTTCACATCCACCACGTCTGCCGGGCACAGCGAAAAAGGGGAGATGCGAAAATCGAAAACAAAGAAAAACAAATTAACGGGGAGAGAAGGTAAGCAGCGCCACTATGGAGAGCTGGCACACAGAGCATTACCATTCCAACCCTTGTAAACCGGAAATTTATGCCCCTGGGAAACGGTCCCCGATACAGCCAAGCCAACCCCAAAGCGGCCTACCTGGGAAGAACCTCCATCCATAAAGCACTTGGTCTTGATGCCGTAATCCTTGAGCCACGTGGCGATCTGGTCGCACTTGATCGACACGGCCACCGCGCCCGCGCTGCAGCCCCCACCAGCACCTCCTCCCCGTGGTTCAGATTTTGAGTGTCCAGCAGATCTGAGACCGGGGGAAACGGGGAGCGCGGAGGGCCGAAGGGGGAGAACCAAGTCAAGAGGGAAGGGTTTCAGCGGAAATTATTCTTTGGACCGAGATAGGTCAGCTCCCTGTGATTTAGGTTCTGATAGTCCAGCTTAAAAAAAAACGTACCTTGAAGCACGCCGTTTAAGTTCCAGTGTCCCCTATAGTAGAGCGTCTTGCCGGTCTCCTCCGTCTTGTTCTTCTTGCCCGAACCGCCCGTGAAGGAGCTGCCGTCGCAAGTACTTGACAAGCACCACATTCCAGTTGTAGAACTGGGGTTTAATCCCGCGTCGGGGCTTGCGACTCCGCCGAAGTGCACGTTCTGCAGGGAGGGAAAGAAAGGGAGAAGCGGAGGGAGAAGCGGAGGGAGAAGCGGAACGGGAGCAAGGAAATGGGGAGAGGGACACGGGCTTCTCGGTCTGCGGTATTTTCTGCGACTCCTCAGTACCGAGTATGGCTGGAACTCGCATTGACATACGACATTGTTGATCCAAATGAACGGTGCAAGATTCCATACTCACGCTGACGGACGGCCAGTTGACGGAGCTCCCAAGGTCCGTCTTTGCGCGGTTGGCGCATTGCTTCGGATTGAAGCACCACCCACCGCCCTAGGGGTAGAAACAGAAAGCGGGATTTGGAGAAAAAAGTATTAGGGACGGATGCAGCTGGAAGAATGATATCCATGGAGTGCTTTTCCTATGAAGAATACGGCCGCAAAGGTTGAGGACCAGGAAAACTAAGGGTTTAGAGCTTTGCGAAACCGAATTCACTGAATGCACTTGTTGCCTGAATCAGAGTTGTTGCACTTCGGTTCGCGCTCACCTCCATAAAAAGGATCCACTTGTTCGCGCCCGTGCCATAACCCTCGCGAAGATAGTAACCCGGCATGCTGCGAAAACACGGGTGAACAGATCAATGTTATTTCCGAGATGCTTTCGGAGTGATTATACGAGAATGTTCAAAGAGGAAAGTACGTTTTAAGGAACACTTTTCTACTCTCATCACCCATTCGGGCATCGAACTCACCTATGCTCCTTCAACAGCATGTGCAGCCACGCAATGCGGCAAAATGAACTTATGTGAATGAATAAAGAGCCGTTCGTTCTAGCAACATTCCTCCGCTCTTACCTCCCGTCCAGGCATCGACCTCGCGTCTGCTCCTTCGACAGCATGTGAAGCCGCGCGACGCGGCCGCCGGGATTAACGGACGACGCACTGGCACCTGGCTTGGGACTCGAGCCGCCGTTGCTGTTCCCATTCAAGTCGCCACGCGATTTGAAGTCTGCTAGTGCGGAGGCAAGCAGGTTGCGTGGGCGCGCGGGATTCACGGACGCGGAAGCGAGGGCTGCAGAGAGCGCGACAAGCGCGAGTACGAGGGTGAGGCTTATAAGCGAGGCCTGAAGGCCTTGTCCAATGCGATGGTGACCTCCGTGCCATATTCTCTGAGACGAACGCTATGATCTAGCTCCTGGCGGGATAAGTCATACAAGCTAGGCGTATTGCTGTTTGTTCGATCGCGCTAGAGGGTCTAGTTGGAAAAGTATTAGGCTCGTACTGATAAAACTGCGGGCCAGAATCACTGAGGTCTGAATGAAAACAGTGATCCTTCAAGATGACCTATCTCTCCGCGTCTTACTTTTCCAACGGATAGACAATGCGCTCTGGATCGCTACTTCGTTCTTAAAGCTCGGGTGGTCCAGATCCTTTAACAAGTTGCTCGCTGCTTTGCCACGATCAAACGACAAAGCCAAGAATCTCCAGACACTATTCAGCAAGGTGCCCTCAGCGCAGTCGATTTTCTGTAGGGTGTCGAATCGCATTCGCCACGCGCACGCCCAGGTAAGCCGTTAGGACTACACGATACACACATCTAGAGGAATGCTGAAACCTGCACTAGAAGAGACTGCTCTTCACCTGGACCATGGCCAGGCCAAGGAGTGAATTCGTGGCATGTGTATGGTGTGGTGTGGAGGAGGGAGGTCGAAATTGGATTTTCAACATTCGACATTTTGGCTCTCGTTGATGTAGATTACGTGTCGCCCACGCGCGTCGCGTCTCAAAGGGAATGAGCGGGAGAGGTTGCGGAACCGCGAACCGCCAAGCATTTCATTTTGCTTGCTCGCTAGTCGTTTTGTTCCGTTCGGTGAATTATGAGTACACTGTCTTACCGATGTCTATATAAAGTGAAACGTGGAAGCTTCAAAAACTTGATCCCTGTAAATGTGGACAAAGACTCTGGTACCCATACACAAGCCTTGTTGATGAAGACTGTGTGAGGCAGTCTCACCTGGTGTCCTGGGTCTATTGCAAGCATTTCGATGGCTTCATATCCTACACCATTTGATCGCCTGTGGCACAGTGCTTGGTTTGGAGCTGGAATACCGTAAATGGCTCAATTTAGGATGAAATAAGCAGCCACGAGGACACATCCCTAATCCTACATGCGGAATGAATTACCCGCATAACCTTTTGTTTCCTTGAGCTAGACTATACGTAGATGGCCATGCTCCTCAAAACATAGGGAGGTCATATGATGCAGATTACATGATGTGGCATGTTGCAATAATCATTGTACACCAGCTAGCTTGCTTAGCCGCTGGTATGCAAGCTCTTTGAGCCGTTTTCGGTCAAATGGGACGTATGCACAGATAGACTCATCCAGTCTGCATGCACAAGCAACAAGAGACAGACAGTGCACATTTTGATTGTGAAACAACGACTGAATGTCACATACTAAGTGGTGTGTGACAGTGTTTGGCAAGAATGAGAGCCACAATGGTAAGGGGTACGAAAGGGGGTTTGAGAGGAAACGGAAGGCGGGGTACGGTAAGGCAGTGGCACTAACAAGGGCAAGGGATAGTGGTGGGGGGAAGAGACAGGGCAGGGATAGGGGAAAAGGCAAGCGCAGGACGAGAGGTAAAAGGTGAACTTCTGCTGACGAAGTTACACGAAGGCCGTGAGGTGACGCAGCGACTCCATGTACAAGTACAGCTCCGAGATGCCATATGTGATGTTCTTCACTCCCTCGGGAGTCGGGGGCATATCTCACTTGAGCCGTTGCTTGAACCAAGCAAGCATATGTGTTGCCAAGGGACTTACACGAGGGCGGCGGTGAGGTCACACAGAGATTCCATCAACTGGTACAGCTCTGAGACGCTGCATGGATGTTCTTCATATCCTTGGGGGCTCATCTCCTTGGGGTGCCGGTCAAACAGAGCAAGCATAATAACAGGTGGAGGTACAGCAAAGGAACTCACACGAGGGCGGTGAGGTCGGGCAGAGACTCCATGAACTGGTACAGCCTCTGAGATGTCGTATGTGATGTTCTTCACTCCAGGGTTCATCTCCTTGAGCCGCCGCTCAAAGAGAGCACACAGCCCTGTGAGTCATGCATGGCGAGCAGAGGGACGAGCATGGATAAAGAAAAACAGAAACGACATTTTGTGCCATGTTTATTTCCGCATGGCACTCAATCCTCCGCTCTTGGAACCCTGAACTTGCGATAGGTATTGTCGTTTGGGGATCCTCAAGAGGGTTTCAGAGTTTGAGCAAGTTTAAGGTTTCGGGGTTGGGGCTTAAAGTACAGGTGATGAGTGCGTTCTTTGGCTTAGAAAGTGTAAGGTTTCAGGGTTGGGGCTTGAAATACAGGTGAGGGGTGCGTTCTTTGGGTAAGAGTGGAAAAGACTAAATGCATGCATTCATATTCCCAAGTATGGAATAATACAGGAGACGAATGAGAGCGAGGGAAGGGAAATACCATCAATGGCTTCTGCTGTGGTGGGGTACTCGATATAAGTGCATGATGATTTCTGTGGCGCTGTTTGCAGCAGAAGAATGGTGTGTCCATCCTGATTGGTTACGGGAGAGGGGGAGGACGGTGGTACGATTTGGGCACAGCAATAGGGACAGGGAATGTCGGGCATGGAGAGAGAGAGAGCGAGAGAGAGAGAGAGAGAGAGAGAGAGAGAGAGAGAGAGAGAGAGAGAGAGAGAGAGAGAGAGAAAAAACAATAGTCTGTAAGAATGATTAAGCACGGAGTGTGTGAAAGAAGGCTATGGAGAGGTCGCACAGATTAGTAGAAAGATAGTGAGAGCATTGGAAACGGTGCGCGTCCAGGAGGATTGGTTGGGTGAATGCAGGGGACAGCTGATAAACGCGGGAGGGAACCCTAACCGAGATGGTGTGCTCCAATTAAAGCGGTTGCTCTAGCAGATAGACGAGTACAAACAGCAAGGAAACCCTAACCGAGGGCACTCGCTGTGACAGTCCAGTTACGCCATTTCAAATCACCAATTCGACATTCCAAATGTACAACAGTTACAGCTTCCTAAACAAGAAACAGACTGAGCGCAAGTTTCGTTACCATATTTGTCAGCAAAAAGTGAGTCACCGCCTGCTGCGATTAGCGCGTCCTAAGCCGCCTCAGAATTCCCCCCTTCGCCTCAATAACGAGCTGCTACGACCAGGCCAGGCAAATTTAACAATGAGCACAAGACTCCTACGAGAAATGTCCGTGTTCCCCGCCAGCACGCAATGCGCTTGACCGACTTCCACGACTCTGAAGAAGCCTGGCGTTACTGACAGCGTCTGTCGCCTAGTGGTCTCACAAGGAAACCTACACGGCTTAGCGTTTGATGCTAACTGGTCCCCGGATCAGCGCGTAGGAATAGGCTCGGAAAGGTGCGCGTACGAAGCGCTATGTGGTTATTTTAGGACATAACTCTCGGAATTGAGAACAGTATTGTGAGCTTACGGATGGTTCCGATAACAGAAGGCAGTGGTGGAAATTGGCATTTCGTAACTGCTTGCTATAAAAGGCTCGGTGTACAGAAGTATATGGTGGTTTTTACTGTTTCCAAGGTGCAGCTTTTCATTGCGGAGCAGCCTGAACCGAACCGTGTCGCGGATATGCGACCACAATGGTGTCAGTCAGGGTGCACAACAGCTGTTTCGTCAACCCATGGTAACTCTGATTTCGCTAGAATCACTCAGCACGCGAACAGCCTTCCTAGCCTCAGCACTTTCGCGTTGGCGCAATTTCAAAATGCGCGCGCCGCTTTGATATTTCCGTGTCGCGGCTCGCTCCAATGTGACAGTGCAGGCATTTCTCCTGCGCGGTTGGGACAATCGACAGCAAGGCAAGCACGTGACCCAAAGCACAAGAGTAAGCGAACGCGAGAACACCGAAATAATTTAGGTAACAGGGTTTAACTTCTGAGTTCAAACAGCAGGGGAGAAGCAAATTTCACTTGGCTCACTAGCTTTACCCTGTTCAAAAGCAAATCCTTTCTCATCACAATCCTTTCTCATCACATCCGCCGCCCTTTGACACCATAGCTAGCATTTTACGCCGAGAAGAATAACGGCCTTCGTTCGTCTCTTCTTCGAGTGAATGAACGCGTGCCTACACATTTAGACATGGACCGATCGCCCCTCCTCCGAATGCGGCTTCACGCATTCCCCCCATTTATCTCCATCCTCCTCCTCCTGCTCGTCATCCTGGCCCCGTCGCACACTGTCGCAAGTAGCGAAGCGGCTACGCTAGAGATCGCAGACCTGAGCCCTTTCGAGTCGATAGACAGCGGCGTTGACGCTGAGTCTTTCGGACCGCACACTGATTTCTCTTCTTCCGGCGGCGTCGGCGGCCGTGACGCTGGAGTCGGCGTTTTACCTGGCGGCCCGCCGAGCATGCCTCGCGTGGCACAGCTGCGAGGGACGATTGACGGCGCTGCGACGCAGGCGAGCAGCGGCGTCGCCGCAGGCGACAACCTGCACGTCGCACGGCTGTATCTCCTGTCGAAGAAGAACTCTCGTGCAAGGTGCTTGGACGGTAGTCCTGCTGGGTACTACCTGCGACGCGGGTTCGGAAGCGGCGCCAACAACTGGATCATGATTCTCGAAGTAAGCGGTGCCGTATTCTCAAGTGTAGATTTAGGGCCGGAAAAAAACACTCTTATTGATGCAGTAGAGATGTTTTTCCGGAGTAGACAAAGCAATGCAACGATGCCTCTTTGGTTGTTCTTGCCATTATTGTAGTTTTGTAGCGCCGGTTGATGACACCCATTTCATTCTCGTGTCATCCGCGTTTCTTGTGCATTGCCAGGCTGGCGGGTGGTGTTTCAACGCCAAGTCTTGCGCGAATCGAGCCAAGGGACCCCTGGGGAGCTCTAAGAAATGGCCGCCGACCAGCGTACGTACTATTCCCATCCTCAGCACCTCTCACCGTCATCGAGATGATTTTCAAGTCAGCTGCGAATCACCGCCAACCAGCAGACGTAGAACTCTCAACCTCCGCAACTGTCGTCGTGCCCGTATCAAGGGAGTTTTAGAGGCGATACGGTGGAGTCAGAGCTGGCTAGCGTACGTTATTCCGGGGCTCAGCACCTCGCATTGCGCTGGCTTAAGGCAGCTTTCGAGAAAATGCATGAGACACCCTTACCGTACGGCGGGGTGAGCGGCGCCGACAGCGACGTGAGCCAGCAGCGGCACGACAGAGAGGGAGGCGAAATGTAGAGAGGGTGTTTTTGGGATGTCCCAAAAACATCCTCTCTACAGAGAGGGGGCCGAAAAGCGCCAGAATTGTCATTCTCATTGCATCAGCTCCTTCACCGGCGGCTACGGCAAGCTGCGCTGCCTCCTTCTCACCACAATCCAACACCTCCCAACAAACCCTCTTTCCCGTCCCTTCGGTCCTTTTCCCCACTCCTTTCGCCCTCCCCGCCTCTCCTCTCCCCGGCCCCCCGTCTCTCCCTGTCCCCGCAACAGACGTGAAGTTACGGCGGCGTGGGCAGCACGGACAGCGCCGTGAATCCCGCGTTCTACAACTGGAACCTGGTGCTCGTCAAGTACTGCGACGGCAGCTCCTTCACTAGCGTCTACGGCAAGCTGCGCTGCTCCTTCTCACCGCACCACACACCTCCCAACAAACTCTCTTTCCTGTCCCCTCGGTCCTTTCCCTCGCTCCATTCCCCTTTCCCCGCCACTCCTCTCCCCGCAACAGGACGTGAAGTACGGCGGCGTGGGCAGCACGGACAGCGCCGTGAATCCCGCGTTCTACAACTGGAACCTGGTGCTCGTCAAGTACTGCGACGGCAGCTCCTTCACCGGCGGCTACGGCAAGCTTCCGCCAAACGCGTGAGACGGGGCGCGCGCTCTACTTCCGCGGGCACTGGAACCTGCAGGGCACGCCTGCAAGGTGTGTAGTGAATCATTTTCTGGATTCTCGGGAAACGTCACAACGAAACACGGTGTATATAGCAAGTTCTTGCCCACTTTTTAGAATAAAATTCAGCGAAGCACACAGTATGAGAGAGGGCAATGTAAATAAAACTAAGTTCACTTAGCTCGCGTTTTTACGGACGAAGCCCGCTTCCTTTACCAACCTCCCCTCCCCCTCTCAACCCCTCCGCCTCTCATCCCCAACCCTGCAGATCTGCTAGCTCGGCACGGGCTGAATGTGGGCAAGCAGATGCTGGTGGGCGGCTGCAGTGCAGGCGGCGTCGCAACGTCAATCAAATGCGATCAAATCTCGAGGTGGCTGGCCAATTATAACGTCACCACCAAGTGCTTCATGGATGGAGGCTACCTTCCCAGGTAGGCCAGAGTAGCAGAGTAGGCCAGAGTAGGCCAGAGTAGGTCAGAGTAGGCCAGAGTAGGCCAGAGTAGGTCAGAGTAGGCCTCACTTGTGATGGAGGGTGCTTTGCAGGCCTTCTTCACTTTGCGTAGGCTTCTCTTGGGGTAGGTTTCCACGTGAGCATTGATAGAATGCGATCAGATCTCGAGGTGGATGGCCAACTACAACGTCACCACCAAATGCTTCATGGACGGAGGCTACTTCCCAGGTAGGCCTCACCTGCCTGCATCACCTGGGGCAGGCTTCATCCGGGGTAGGCCTTGCTGGGGAGACAATTCGAACGGGCATTCGTTCTAGAGGTGGGTGGCCAACTACAACGTCACCACCAAATGCTTCATCGACGGAGGCTACTTCCCAGGTACGTCTCTCTGGAATGGCCTCATCTATTGTAGGTTTAACTAGAGTATGTCACTGCTTGCTGCTGCTGCTGCTGCTGCTGCTGGTGCTGCTGCTCTCCATCAGTCAATACCACTCCCTCCCCTGCCTGATTCCTAATGTGGCGGATAAGGGCCAGCACTGCAGCGTGAGGCAGAAGGTGTAGCTGATGCCACATCCGTCCCCTTCCCTCCCCCCTCCCTTAAGCTGATGCTAAACCAAGGCGGATCAGGACAAGCAGTGGAGCATGAGGCACAATGAGCCTTTTGTAGCCGAATCACATTTCCCCACCTCCCCTTAGCTACCATGATCTCCCCTGCCTGATCCCTCCCTTCAGATGTGGCGATAAGGACGGGCAGTACAGCATGAGGCAGAAGGTGCAGCAGATGGCAGGCGTGCATGACATGGGGCGTATTGGGGTCAACCGCCGAGTGCAAGCGAGGTGAGTCGCCACTGTCCAATGAGCAACGAGCAATGAGCACTGAGCACTGAGCATTGAACAATGGGCGAAAGGAACTCTCTCACTCAAGTGATGCAAGCACAGCCTTCTCGTTAGCTGGAGTAGTCCCCAGCGGATTGATGTTCAATGCAGATGCAATGAAATTGACTCTTTCCGGCTTGCACAGTACCTTTGCAAGGACCTCCTCCACTTGCTCTATCTAACATCTTGCTTTGCGTTTCCTCCCTGTCTTTCTGTTTCCTCTCTCCTTGCTCTTTTTCCCCATGGTCCCCATCCTCACTCTATATGCAGCCATGAAGAAGACCAACGACACATGGAAGTGTTTCTTCCCGGAGTACAACCTGCAATTCTCACGCTCTCCAATGCTCATTGTCAACTCCTTGTCCGATTACAAGCCATCAGTCTGACCCTCGCACCCAGGCCAAGGGTACCACGGACCCCCTGCTTCGTTGCCTCCGTTCCAGCTACCAAAGCTGCTCACCAGGCCAGGTGAAGCTGCTGCAGTCCTTTTCTGCAAAAGTTAGCTCCTCGATACAAGGATTGTGCAACGAAGAGTGCTGAGAATGATGGGTTCCAGGCGTTTACATTTTCACAATCCGCACATTGTGTGGTGGGAGAGGAAATGTGGCAAAAGGTACAGTCAACTGCCAAGGCCTTTTCTTCTGTTCCATCACCCTCCTCATCTCCTGTGGCAACAAGTGGTGGTGCACCTTTAGCACATCCTTTGTCAACTGGTTCCGTCGCTGATCGGATTAGGACGGGATTTGATGTGCTAGGGCTAGTGGAGCACAATTTGTGCTTTCATGATTTTCATATGCATAGGATGTATCAGGCATAAGCCGAGATTTGAAACCAATCTCAAATCTAGCAGACCTATCAAATGTACAACCTCAAGCGCGTATACAATTTGTGCGGCACACCACCCACGCTGCCAAAATTGCTTCTCCAGCAGCAATACGGTTGCGACATGCGGTCTGCCCGCAAGGCGAGACGCGAGAGGCTGCATGAGCGCAGTGGTCCCCACGCAAGCCGCAATTCTCGAATGGGGAGCTACTTTGCCACGGTCGTCGAATGGCGAGCCATTTCGTAGCCCTCGTTGATTCTCGCCCTGCCCAACTGCAAGTTCGGGCAACACACGCGAAGTGCACAGATTGGCTATTGCCCCTCTCACGTGTTGCCTTGATGGGTTCTCCATCACATCCACCTGCTTTGCATCCAGACCAGAACGGTTTACCGTGGTTTCGGGGACTTGGCTGGGTGGGAGGGCAAAGAAGGCGGAGAAAAAAGGCGAATGGCTTGTCCTTCGTGAGGCCATAGCGCCAGCCACGCCGAATTCAGTTTGGTCGGAGGTCCGTCTAGGAATTTCATTGGCGGGCGGTGCTTGTGGCTCATGAGAGCCATGTCCGATGCCTGGCTGGCCTGGAGCGAGTCGGAGCTCACGTGCCGCTCCAGCGCCGGAATGGACAGACTTGCCAGAGACACCAAAGATGGAGTGGTTTTCAGATTCTCGCCTTGCTGACCCGAGCTATTCCATACGTCAGTCTTGATGTGCTCCGACGAATTCGGGCTCTTAGCTTAGAGAAACTATTTCTCCTCTTGCTGACCCGAGCTATTCCATACGTCAGTCTTGATGTGCTCCGACGAATTCGGGCTCTTAGCTTAGAGAAACTATTTCTCCTCTAGCTGACCCGAGCTATTCCATACGTCAGTCTTGATGTGCTCCGACGAATTCGGGCTCTTAGCTTAGAGAAACTATTTCTCCTCCGCGAGTGAACAAAAGTGGTTGAGCCGACGTCTAGAACACTAAGCTGGTGCATCCATCTAGGTTGTTGCCAGTAAAGCCCGTGCTCGCGTGTCTTCGTCTTTGAAGCCATGGCCGCGCTTTTGCGCACCACTGCTCACCAGGGCTTGGCAAGTCTGTCGTTGAGGAAACTTTCGATAGTACAAAACAGTAACGACTTGGTTTTTTCGGAGACAGGTATCCGAAGTGCTCGCAAAGCGGCGGCAGAGGGCATGTTCGACGTAATTTCACTTCTCTAAAAGTCAACTCCGTTCTCGAGGTAATAGATTAGGCTAATGCTATCAATTGCATGGAAATCACGCGTTATGGTTAGTCGATTTCTCATCGCTAGTGCTGCCGGCTGCAGGTCCCGAGTAGTCTTGAAGGTTCCTTCCCACCCGTTGTGTTCCCCGACACCTGATGAGAGCGAGTCAACCACGAGGAGGTGGAAGGTCCTTCCTGACATCTGGCCAACTCTCGCGGAGCAGTATGGCGACAAGATTGCTCTTTTCGATCCGCATCACGGACAAAAACGAGGCTTGACGTTTTCAGAGCCTCGAGAGTGCAATTTATGATTTCGGTGAAGGTCTGCGCGTCTATGGGCTGAAGCAAGGAGAGTGCGCCTCGCTGTTTGCTGAGAACTCGCACCGATGGCTTATCGCCGATCAAGGCAAGCCAATTTTTTATGGGATGATGCCTGTTTTGGTCTGGAGTGCCGTATAAGTACTTTGAAGGTCGAGCGTATTCTGATCATGAGTTTGGAGGGTGCGAGCAGGCGTGATGGACATTGGTGCTCGTGATGCTGTTCGAGGAGCGAAGTCCTCAGGAGCGGAATTATTTCACATTTTGGAAAACTCAGACAGGTTCGTCATGACTTTTGGGGTTCGTTTCATCTCAGTAAGGTTCCCGCATTTCAGTATGAATGACCGCGTTTTTTGTAAATGCTTTCTTTCAGTACCGCTGTCATCGTGGACAACGTCCAGGTTCTTGAGCACATTGCGCCGTTTCTCGAAGCTTCTTCGGTGAAAGACACTGTCAAGTTTGCAGTTGTCCTTTGGCCTCCAGCCGGTAAAGGCCAGGAACGAAGTACTGACTGGAAGACCAGCAGCACGTGCTCCAAATGGTTTTCTCTGTACTCGTTTGAAGAAGTTTCGGCGGCTGGGAGTGCAAGCAGGCTCACTCATGATGCTCTGTCGCCGCTCAGCGCCTCGTCAAGCGTCCAGACCTGATAACGTGGCAACATTGGTGTACACTTCTGGGACGACCGGGAATCCCAAGGGCGTGATGCTCACGCACAGCAACCTGATGCATCAGGTCAAGCTCCCCTCTCCCCCCCAGTTCCTGCAGTTCCATCCTGCTCTGCCTCCAGCTATCTCGGGCTACCTCTCCTCGGGGCCCCCATTTCGTCTTCCCGTTCTTCCTCCTCCACTATCCATGACTATTCGCCATATTCGCCAGTATCGTCCCATCTTGTTCGTGCTTGCATGCATTCGCACGTCCCTTTCCGTCATCTCATGTTGCGCAGGTCAAAAACTTTGAATGTGCCCTAACGCCTGACGCTGGTGATGTCATGTTGAGCCTGCTACCCCCATGGCACATGTACGAGCGCTCATGCGAGTACTTTCTACTGAGCCGTGGGGTCCAAATCATCTACAGCAATGTCAAGTCATTCAAGGTTTGCCCAGTGCATGATCGCATTTCAATCAAAGTCATCCCAGTGTGTTTGGCCATCTGAATCAACTTGTTCAAATTGCATTGCAGGAAGACTTGATCAAACACCCTCCGGACTACTTTGTGGCTGTTCCACTTGTCTTTGAGGTTCTATACAGGTAATGCAGCCACAGTAAGTTATATGTTGAATCATCATCATCCAGCTACATTGAATTCTTTCCACTTGTGAGATTCCCAAAACGCATTTTCTGTTTTGGGATGGGCTTGCAGTGGAGTCCAGAAGAAGCTTGCTGCAGCATCAACCGCCAGGGCAGCAGTTGCCAAGTTCTTGATAAAAGTCAGCTCCCTTCACAAGGAAGCTCTGCGCATCTGGACAGGAATGGCTGTGCTCCGCTCACGTGAAAACGTTCAGGGGCTCATGTTTATGAAGGCTGTGGCAGAATGTTTGGGAGCTGGACTTTTAGCGCTGGTGCTGCTGCCTCTTCACCTGCTGGCGGAGAAGCTTGTGTACACCAAGGTCAAAGCTGCTATCGGCATAAAAAAGGTATGGTATGGCATTTTAGATGACCTAGCAAGGCTTACACTGTTTTCAGACGTTCATGTTGATAGACGCTGTTTACATTGTTGCCTCGAATTCTGCCCTTTGTATGTGCACACAGGCAGCTGTGAGTGGTGGAGGCAGCTTGCCGTCGCACGTGGACAAATTCTTTGAGGTATGGAATGCCTGAGTTTTGTGAACTGACTAGGTCATTCTGAAAATAATTTGTTAGCTCCTGAATTTTGTCACATTCTATCTGATGCCGCTTCTCTTTTGTTTTCAGCAAATTGGGATCACTCTGGCTCAATGGATATGGGCTCACAGAGACCTCTCCTGTGCTGACAGTCAGGCAAAGTTCCAACAATGTAGGCACGGTCGACCTGAAGTTTCTCAATTGTCACGTGCTTGCTACAGCAGACGATGGGACTTGATTTGGTTTTCTTTTCGGTCTTTGAAACAGGCATTGGGAAGCATTGGGAGTCCCGTTCCTGGAACAGAGATAAAGATTGTAGACCTGGAGACGGGAGCTGGTCTCCCTGCAGGCCAACGCGGGTTGGTCAAGGCACGTGGCCCTCAAGTGATGAAGGGCTACTACAAGGTGAGTTCAAATTTGTGTTTAGATGCCAGGATTCTTGCACATTTTCAGTGTAATCAAACTTATGTGCATGGGCTTGTTGGTGTTCAACAGAACCCGGTGGCCACAGCAATGGCAATTGACAAGGATGGTTGGTTCTCCGACGGGCGACCTTGGATGGATCTCTCCTTTGACTCCAGTTGGCGCTGCTCGAAACTCGGGAGGGCTTCTGGTCCTTGACGGCCGAGCCAAGGATACCATTGTTTCTTGCCAGTGGTGCGTGTGACTGGACAGCTGACAAGCACACACGTACTCGCAACTTTGACCTGATGTGTGTGGCTGGATTTTTTTTTCAATGTGTACATTCTTGTCCTTTTTTCGAACAGGTGAAAATGTGGAGCCTGCTTTTGTCGAGGAGGCTGCACTTAGCAGCCCTGTCATCCGCCAGATTATGCTCGTCGGCCAGGTACCGAGTGTGTGCAACGTGTGTAACAGGTTAGAAGCAAAGAATGTCAGTCTGTATGCATTGAATGCCATTTCTTTAACCAGCTATATCTGTATGTATATGTTGAGACTCTGTTACTTGCTTGTCTTATGTTTTCAGGACGAGAGAAAGCTTGGAGCGCTGATTGTTGTGAATGAGGAGGAGATGGAGGTAGCAGTGGCAAGCATGAGAGCGGAGAAGGGGATGGAGGGAGGCGAGGTGACAGAAAAGGAACAGAGGACTGTCGTTCGACAAGAGCTCACCCGCTGGTACGCTAGTCTAGTCAAACAAGACGTTTGCAGTGTCAGCATTGCAGGTTGTATTCGAAACAAACTGTCACACATTTTTAGTCTGGTCACTAACTTTTGAATACTCTGATTGGTCCTCCCTCCCACTCCCCCCCCCCCCCCCCCCCCCTTATTTCTCCTTTCAGTTTAACAGAGGGCAGGTTGTTTGCCGCATGAACGGATCGGTCCATTTGCACTCCTCGATGAACCATTCACAGTAAGCCTGCCTATTTACAAACCATGAAAATGTGGACTCGGGTGTGGTGTACTCTTACTGACAAGCCGTGCTGAGTTGTTCTTTCAGGTGGATAATGGCCTCCTCACAGCAACAATGAAGATGCGGCGTGATGTGATTTACAGCAGCCACAAGGAGCTTTGTGATCAGCTTTTCCAGCACTGAGTCACCTAGGGTTCCGTGAAGCAGAAATAAAGCAGTTGATGGTTGACACGACGCGTATGATCAAATCGGTTTGTAGATGTGTTTAAAGCTTTCTCTGTTTTCCTCCTAGACGGAGGAACATGTTTAGTGCCCTGGCTGCAGCTAAAGTTTATGCAGCAATGAAAAAAGGCATAGTGCTGTGACTGCATGTAATTGTCCGTCTTCTCAGCATTATTTCTGATTCTAACTTCCCAGAACTAGACATCTAGCTTCTCTTTATTGTTACTGCACAATATTACCCATTTCACGTCTAGCACATTTCCTGGTGCCAGTCCAGTGCACTCCTGCAAAGCTCCTGTTGGAATTCCAGTACCTTCGGGATATCAGTGACTCCATAATACATAACTGCCTATTACCACCCAGTACATGAACCCAGCAGGTACCCTTATTGTTAGTAATAGCATTGCCAGGACTACCATCACAGCCTAGATAAGCTGTCGTTTGCGAAGGGAATCGACAACACTATCGTTCTTGGCGTCCGTGTCAAGAACCTGCAATTCCAGCCACCCAGCAACACGAGCAACAGGGCACAGCACAATGTGAAATTCTTAAAATGCACTCCAACATTGCATGCTCAGACGTGCACACCATGTGTTAGCTCTTGAACCAATCGGAGCAGCATCTAAAACAAAGCAATATGAGAATTAAGCAACAACAAAAGAATGGTCAGCAACACATTCATAAGGTGTCGCACACACCTTATCAATGATGCCATATTCCGGCAGCATCAGGTGTGAGGTATGTGCCATCAGCAACACATTCATATCACAGCGTGTCTCATGAGTCACATACCTTATCAATGATGCCATACTCCACGGCAGCATCAGTTGTGAGGTACATGGGACGCCTACGCATGGTCAGCACGTTCACAGTGCAATCACTACCAGAGTGGTCGCCCGCACCTTATCAATGATGCCATACTCCACGGCAGCATCAGGTGTGAGGTACAAGGGACGCCGGATGTCATTCTCGATCGTCTCCTCTGACTTGCCCGTGTGCCGCGAGTACAGCTTCACCTGCAGGAGAAACAGGGGGATGCCAAACACACGGCAGAATCAGGTGTGAGGTACAAGGGACGCCGATGTCATTCTCGATCGTCTCCTCTGACTTGCCGTGTGCCGCGAGTACAGCTTCACCTGGAGGACAAACAGAGAGGTCAAACACAGTAATTGATGTCAAACACAGTAATTGATGTCAAGCACAGTAATTGATGTCAAACACAGTAATTGATGTCAAGCACAGTAATTGATGTCAAGCACAGTAATTGATGTCAAGCACAGTAATTGATGTCAAACACAGTATCTGATGTCAAACACAGTAATTGATGTCAAACACAGTAATTGGTGTCAAACAAAGTAATTGATGTCAAACACAGTAATTGATGTCAAACACAGTAATTGATGTCAAACACAGTAATTGATGTCAAACACTGTAATTGATGTCAAACACGGTAATTGATGTCAAGCACAGTAGTTGGTGTCAATGTCACTGTATAACAATGTCTTCACCTTGCAAGGCACATAATTGACTTCTGAACGTCAGTGGTTTGTCAATGTCACCGACTTCTTTCTCTAGTACCCATGCACTCACCGGCTCTGAATTCATGTTCCGCACTTCCTTGCGCATGGCGTGAATGCCATGTCAATGCCATGTCAATGCCATGTTAATGCCATGCCAATGCCATGTCAATGCCATGTCAATACCATGCCAATGCCATGTCAATGCTATGTCAGTGGCCTGTATGAGTCAGTGACCCCTCTCTCATTGTCACAAATGTGGCCCACTCATCACTTGTTCGGTCTTCACATTCCGCACTTCGCATGATGTCAATGTCAGTGGCCTGCCAATGTCGGTGCCCTGTAGACATCACTGGCTTGTCTTTCAACCACTTTCAACCCCTCACCAGTTCTGTCTTCACGTTCCGCACTTCCTTGCGCATGATGTCAATGTCGGTGGCCTGCCCGCGGAACCGAGAGATGGGTTGCTTGAGCATGATGGAAGAGGAGGGCAGTGCTGACCGGTTGCCCTTAGACCCTGCAGACAGCAGCAGCGCCGCCTCCCCCCACGCGTTGCCCACACACAGTGTGAAGATCGGAGGCTTCACGTAGCTGGGGCGTGGAAGAGGGGAGAGGTGGTGGAAAACTAAGGTTAAGGAAAGGGGGGGGAAGAGGGAATATATGGGGGGAGAGGACAGTAGAGAGAAAAGGAAGGGCGGTGATGGGAGGAGGGCACAGGAATGGATGGCAGGCAAGGAAGGGAGGGCAAGGCAGAAAGAGAAAGGAGAGGGAGGAAGTAAGGGTAACGCTAGGAAGGCTAAGAAGGAAGACTGACCGCATGGTGTCATAGATGGCAAAGGAAAAGAGGGCAGGAAAGGGAGGAGCGCAGGCCACTGAAGAAAAAGACAGAGCGGATGCAGGGCTGAGGAGGGAAGACTGACCGCATGGTGTCATAGATGGCAAACGCCTCTGTCTCGTACCCCAGCTTCTCCCCGTCCTGAACGCATCGGAAGGGGGCAAAGGAAGAGGAAATTGGAGGAGAAAGTTTCAACCGGGAGGGAAATAGAGGGGAGGGGGGGAAGGTGGAAAGACATCCATCTCCAGTCGTCTTATAACGAGGATAACCAGTACAGTACCTTGGTGGTATCCATGGATTTGATAAAGATGTAACTCGGCCTAGTACTTGCAGGCAGAACAGTTCGGCCATGATGAGCTATAGTACTTTACCTAGGTGGTTCCCGTGGAGTTGATATACATGTAAATCGGCTTCTCAGGGCTGTCGTACTGCAACTCGGCCATGATGAGCTCGTCTTATAACGGGGATATAACACTACAGTACCTTAGTGGTTCCCGTCGAGTTGATGTACATATAAATCGGTTTCTCCGGGCTTTCGTACTGCAGATACAGCAGCTCCGCCATGATGAGCTCTAAGGACGGAGCTCCCTTGCAGGACTGACCTCTTATATAACGCGGATATTCTCTACAGTACAGTACCTTGGTAGTGCCGGTAGAATTGATATACATGTAGAATTGGTTTCTCAGGGCTGTCGAACTGCAGGTACAGTAACTCAGCCATGATGAGCTCCGTGACGGAGGGCACGGCTTTTGAGGTGCCTCAAAAGTCGTTTTATAACGCGGATATCCGTTACAGTACCTTAGTTGTTCCAGTCGAGTTGATGTACATATAAATCGGCTTCTCAGGGCTGTCGTACTGCAGGTACAGCAGCTCCGCCATGATGAGCTCCGTGACGGACGGCACGAGCGACATGCCCAGGAACACAATGCGGTTCTTGAAGAGGTACGAGGGGAGATCCGGTGGCGGCCTGCTGAGTTGCCTCGCCCTTTTGAAACGGGATGACCTGCGGGGAGGGAGGGGGGAAGGGGGAGCGGCGAGGCGCGGTATAAGAGAAAAGGGTTGGTGGGGAGAGGATAGGGGCGAAGAGGAGAAGTGGGAGAAATGGGAGGAGCGGTGGGGAAAGACGAGAAGGGGGGATGAAGGTGGGTGGGATGGGGCTGTAAGTGGCGGAGGGCACGAGTGTCATGACTAGGAATCCGAGTTCGAGACGGCTACTAAGGCGCCTCGAGAGTGATTCTGTAGTATCGCGTAATGCGGCCTACATTACACGTCGAGAGTGAAACATTAATCCTGGGGCGTTTATATACTCTCAGTCTCCAATACGACGCCTAAGAAATCCGGTTTCCGAAAAAACGACGGCCTGACAAGATTTTGACTCGAGTGATTCTTCGCTGTTACACACAACGCGCGGCCGCCACTGCTGCTGGAGGTGAACGAGAGGCCCAGGCTGGAATGGCTCCAAATATCGCCAGGGCGCTCCAAGTAGCGTCAGGGGGGCTCCAACAATCGACAAGAGCCGTCGTATTCGTGCTAATTTCGATAATTTTGAAAAGTAAAGGACGGCTACGATGATGCATTGCGGAAACACGACACGTCTGGCGCCAACCCGATGCGTCAATAACGCGGATATGCCAAGCAGCTGGAACAGCGAAACGCGCGAGGCAGCATCCAGTGAAGATGAGCTAAAGCGCCGGCAATGGCCGCGAACCTTGGGAATGCCGTGAGCCCCGAGAGTCAGTGAACCTAGGGATTTCTGAAAACCTTGAGAACGCCGCGAATCTCTGGAACCTCGATAGGGCTTGCGGCTGTCGTAACCCGTGTAGTTGTTTAGGCCTCGGGGAATAATGGACGCGGTGCTGTTTCGCGGCAAGCCTTCCTGTGGTGCCAGAGCTCTAACATTGCGAACACACTTTCGCAGAAGTCTGCTGAAACAAAGCGAGCAATTGTCGCGAAAGGTTATTCTGACTGTGTGTGCCCTGCGAAAGATTGCTATCACGAGGCTATTTATAACGCGATCAGCGTCTAGTGTATAACGGATCCGGTCGCGTGAACGCCGACATGCCAGCTTCAGTTTCCGTACGCGCGAGTCGGGCTTCCTTCTACTGTTTTGAAGTTTCCTCTAACCACAGCGTTACGCACCATTTCGACAACTCCTCGTCTTCCGCACGAATCCCCTCCCGCCACATGTCGCGATCGCAGCACTTCCGTCGCCGAATGGAGGCTCTGACCCATCAGCTGCTTCGCGCCCACGTGGGCGCGGCTCGCCACGTGAGCATCGAGCTTAACCCTCGACGTTGATTGCGGCAGGGCAACGGCTGCCACCGCGCCTTTCCGCGTGCGCGAATCGGCGCGCAGCGGCGTGGCGAGTGTGTGCGGCGCAACAGAGGAATGGCACACTAGGCGATCCATGCTCCACCACCACACCGCCGCCGGGTGACAGGACCACGCGGAAACGCGATAAGAAGAAGAGCGGACCACGCGATCTAGAGGCGCCTGATGGGAATAAGAGTCACGCACTCCCGTACTAACGACACGAATAACTAGTTTAGGGATAGTCTGGTCTAGGCGGCAAGAAAGAGAGGCGGGGCGGATTGGATCCTGGCCTGGGAAGCGGGGAAGGGTGTGCGCGGAGGGGAGAAAGGGGAATGCGGAGGCCGCGGGCGAGATATTGGTGCGCGGAGATAGACAATGACGCGCGGGATAAGTAGGGGGCCCATGGGGAGGGGAGGGGAGGATCACTTGCAGAGAAGCGGAGCCATTTCACATCTTCGGGAAAGCCACGGCACGGGTCCACGTGGCGCGCTAATATCGGTGCGAATTGCCTTAAAGCTGCTTCGCTATTATCCAGAAACTCGCAATTATAGAAGAAAATGACTTCGTAAGTAGCAGAAGCCCCAAACAAGAGCAATAGGGTGCACCAGATAGTGGGCCTGTTTGTAATGTGTACGTAAATATCATGTCTAAAGTGAATTCACCACAATAGAAAAGTAGTTTCTGCAGCACTTATGCTCCCCTTAAACATAAATAAATATGGTAGCATAAACAAATGAGGAATAGAGATGCAAAACAGTTTTTAAGAAAATAGTTACTGGTACTGGTGCCGTGATTGCCGCATCTGGTGCTGCTGATACCACTGGTTAGGCTGATCCAGCGTTCCAACCATGTCCCCCTCCTCTTCCTGCAGCCTCTCACACTCATCCTCATCCTCACTCAGAGGATCCCTCCCATCCGGTCCCACCATCAAAATATCCCATGTGTCAGCACTACCACCAATGTTACTGTACGTATCACCATTACTGTTACTGTTGTTGGTGATGCAGGCTTGCCCTGGAGCTGTGCTTCTTGCCTCCCCCTCGCCTGTTTGTGAGGGAATTTCGTCCCTCCTTTGGCTGCTTTACCTTTGTTAAGAAGAGCCAGAGGCCGCTTGAGAAACCCCTGCTTTGTCCCTGTCTTCTTCTGCTTCTCACCAACCCTCTCCCTCTCCTCCTTGTCCTCTGAACCATTGCATGCATTGCCTCCCTCCTCCTCTTCCACCTCTCGCTGCTGCTGCTGCTGCTGCTGCTGCTGGGAAGGAGGATCATACTGAAAGGATTGTTTCTCAGAGAGCTTCTCAGCTTTCGTGAATTTACCGGTTGCCATCTTTCCAAACAGAGACAGCACTGCCCCACTTTCCTTACGAGAGCCTTCTTCCCAGTCAAGAGACCCAATACGAGGAAACAACCCTTTCCTCCTTTCCTTCCCCTCCTTCCCCTGCCCTTCTCGCCCGTCCTCCTCCGGTTCCTCTGTGCATTCACTAGACTCAGTCGATCCCAACCGAGGATAACGCCCATTTTTCCCCTCCTTGCCCTCCTTTCGCTGCCCTTTTCTCCCCTCCCTCTGTTCCTCCCTCCCTTCCCCTCCCTCCCCTGAGCCCATTGACCCGGAGTTAGAACCATCCGATCCCGATCGAGGAAAGGACCCCTTCTTCCCCTCCTTTTTCTCCTTCCTCTGCTTTCCTTCCTTGTCCTTCTTCCCCTCCTTGCCCTCCTTCCTCTGCTTCCACTCCGTACCCTCCTTCCCCTCTTTGCCCTCCTTCCCCTCTTTGCCCTCCTTCCCCTGCCCTTTTCTCCCCTCCTCCCTTCCTCCCCCTCCCTCCTTTCCCAAGCCCATTGCCCCAGAGTTAGAACCAACCGATCCTGACCGGGGAAAGTTCCCCTTCTTGTCCCCCTTTCCGGGCTTATTGGCACTCTTAGGCTCGGACAGAAACGAGTCAATGATGAAGCTCAGCTCTTCTTTCACGAAGTCACCTTCTTTGAGATTCGGTCCGTTCGATCTGCCCTCCGTTCGGACAGGAATGCTGCTCGCACTGCGTCGGATGCAGCTGCTGCTGCTGGCGCTGCCACTGCTGCTGCTGCCACTGCTATTGCTGCCGCCACCGATGTTGCCCCCGCTGTTGTTGCTGCTGCCACTAGTTATGCCACTGCTGCCACTGCTGCCGCTGCTGCTGCTGCTGTTGCCACTGCTGCTGCCACTGCTGCTACTGCTGTTGCCGCTACTAATGCCAGCAGCATGCTTCAACCCCTTCGCAGTGACCATCTTCTTAAAGAGAGATGTTGCAGAGGACGAAACTTCAGTCCGCGAGTTTGGGTCGGCGGTCCTTGGCCGTATGCCCGGCTGGCTCTTTGACCTGCCATACAGGTCCTGCTTACGTTGAGCGAAAAAATCATGGTCAACTACGGTCGACAGGGTCAACTGGGTCAACGCAAGCAGCTTGGTCATCAGGGTCAACAGGATCATCATGGTCAATGCGGTCGACAGAGTCAACATAACTATCTTGGTCAACGGAGTCAACAGGGTCAACACCACTGCCAGAGCTTGTCTCATGCTCCTTCCACCCTTCTTCATCAAGCCTCCCTCCATTGTACTTTCTCCCGAGCACTTGAACGCTCGCCATCCTTCCCCACACCATCCCCTTCCCCTGCCCCTTGCCCCGCACTTTCTCCGGCCCGTTCCCATTTAACCACTCTCCATCCAACCCATACTGCCTGCCACTCCCATCTATCCCCCCTCCCCTCCACCTATCCTGCACAGTAACAGATTTCCCAAACCCTCCCTTCCCTGCCCTCCTGCTGCACCCTTTCCCACTCTCCCCAGAGGCAGCTTTTCCCTTTCCCCCGCCCTCATCTTTCCCCAGGCCCCTGCTCCCATCTCCCACATCCCTCCCATTATCATCCTCCCCACCCCTCCCGAGTTCTGCCAGTGCCCCGGCAAGCACCCCCTTCCTCATAGCGCGCTCTTTCACAGTCAAGCTCTTTCCCATCCCCCCTTCTTGCCCTGCAGGGGACGCAGCCTTACTGGTCTGCACCGCGTCAGTCTTGGAAGCAGCCTTACTGGTCTGAACCGCCTCAGAAGCACCAGCCTCCTTCTTCCTCTGCACTCGTGCCAAGCGGTTACCAGCATATCCCCCAGCAGATTCGTTAGTAGCTGCCCCCTGGTGTGGTACAAGCTCGAACAGCGGGAGCAAGAGCCGCAGTGATGGAATCCTTGTCATTATCTGGAGCAGGATCAGGGAGCGCAGGATCACCAGGGAAGGTAGAGCTCTTCCCTGAGAGAAAACTTTCACCTGCCCGTTTGAGGCTGCCCGTCGGGTCAGCGTCGAGAAAATCGGCAATGTCGGGGGAAATGATGACCGAGGCGAGGGGGAGGGGGGTGCCTGTGTCCAGATGGAATGCGAGCAGAGAGGCGGAGGGGAGGCGAGCGAGACGGGACTTTGGCTGCGGTGGTGGCAGCAGTCGCCCCTGCACCTGCTCCTGCTGCTGTTCCTGCTCCTGCTGTTGCTGCTGCTGCCCCTGCTTCTGTTCCTTCTCAGTAACTGCCTCATCACCTCCCACTTCCCCCTCTCCTTCCTCCCAGAACCTCTTTCACTCCCACACTCACGACTCTCCCACGTACTCTTGTTTCCATTCTCGCTGCTCCTCTCACTCCGGTCATTCTGGACACACTGGCCACTCCAGTCACTCTGAACACTCCCCGTTGCAGAGTCACTTCCCTTCTCACTCCCACAAATACTATCATCCGCATCTTCTCCCCCTCGCCTGACCTCCTCCCTCTCCTTTCCCTTTCCCCTCTCCTCTCGTCCCACACCCTTCCGTCTGCGCCCGTCCACCCCACCCCTCATCATCACTCCTACTGCATCCCACGCCTCTCTCACCTCCTCCTCACCCGCCCTCCATTTTCCTTTTGCTCTCACCTCCTCCCCATCCGCCTTCCCCTTCCCACTCCCCCTCTCATTCCCCTTGTGCCCAGACCTGTCCTCCTGCCGCCCCCAGCCACCCAACATTCTCTCCTCTCCAGCACCCCCCCCCTACGCTTTTACTCCGCCAGCCCTTACCTCGGATCTTCTCTTTGCTCTCCCCTCTGCTCTTGCCCTTGCTGCCCTCTCCCTCTTCCCGTCTGCTCTTATCCCCAGCGCCTTCTCCTTTTCTCCCCTGGCGTTCCTGCCGCTCCTGCCATTCCCGCTGTGCCAGAGTCTCCTTCTGCCCCTGCCGTCTCACAGGGGTTAACGGTCTGGCTTTCCAACCAGCACTCCCGCAATCATCCTCGCCCATTCCAGCCGACACACAAGGTTCCTCACCCAGCCGACACACAAAGTTCCTCCCCAGCCGACACACAAGGTTCCTCCCCAGCCGACACACAAGGTTCCTCCCCTTGCCACTCCTCTGCACCCCGAACCCCCCACAGGGGTTACCTGTCTAGCGTCTCTAGTGCCCCTTCCGGTGCCACTTCCTCTTGATCTCGTGTCACTCTCCTCTACACCCTCTTGGTCCCACTTTTGAGCTTCCCCGTCGTCCCACTCATTGTAACCCTCCTCCTCCTCGTTCTCCCCCTCTCCCCTGCTCTCCTGACGGCCGCCCATCTCCCTGTGCCCGAGAGCATGACCCACGGACCTGCTCCGAACGTGCCCTGGCTTCATATCCTGTGTTCGTGGGACGTGGCATTGTGTCAGGCCTTGTGCCATTGGAAGGCGGCCTGTCGTCAGGCCTTGTGCCATTGGAAGGCGACCTGTCGTCAGGCCTTGTGCACGTCCTGATTTCAGCCTACTTGCTGGCATCCTCGTCCCACCTAACACACCCTCCTCCCTCGCATCCCTATACCCCACATCCCTCTGTGAGATTCCCCTCTCGCCTCCACCCACCTTCAGACCAACGTAAAATTCACCAGAACGACCTGAGCCACCAGAACCACCGAAACCATTCAAACGAAGAGAATAGCCAGGAGAACCATAAACATCTCCACGCCTCCGTTCCTCTCGCCCTCGCCCAACCCATGCACCCTCCGTGGAAATTTCCTGTGCTGAGTCAGACTGCTCGAGGTCCAGCATGGCAGCTGCTGCTGCTGACATCATCTCCCTCTCCTCCTCTTTCACCTCTACTCCTCTCCAGCCCTCGTTCGTGACGTCATCCATAGCATCATCATTCCCGTATAGACCCGACCCATGTAAACACTCCCTTCGCCATGCGCGCTGTGTCTTTCCCTCCTCCACTTCCTCCTCCTCATCCTCGCATTCTGAAGAGAGTTTTTGCTGGGAGTCAAACGGTAAATGACAGCTGGGCGAACGGAAGTGGGAACGAGGGCGGGAGTGAGAGTGGGCGTGGGAGTGGGAGCGAGTGTATGCGTGGGAGGGGGAGGAAGAAGAGTCAACAGGGGAGTCTCGCAGGCGGGAGGGTGCAGCTGTGCGGCCACTCTCCCATGAGAACTCGCTGCTGAGAACGGCAGAGGGCAGGGCGGACATGGTGCGACGGGGGCGACCATGCAAAGGGACCCTCACTGCACGCTGGGACTGCCGCTGCTGCTGCTGCTGCCACTGCTGCTGCTGCTGCCGCTGCTGCTGGCCGCTGCTGCTGCGGCTGCTGCTGCGGCTGCTGCTGAAGGTGGGGCATATGGTGGAGATGGGAGGGTTGCCCCTGACCAGCCAAAGCAGCAGGCGTGGGGTCATGGTCCCAGCGTCTCGTGTCCTCCCCCTCTTGGTACCGCTTTGTTCGATCCTTGGGCGTTTCCCCTTCCCACTCCGCGTCCCCTGCCGCCCACTCGCCCTTGTCCTCCACCCACTCTCCCCTGCCCTCGCCTTCGCTCTCGCCCTCATCCTCGTCTCGTCGCCCCTGCTCTCTGCTGATGAATGACTTCTCCTTTCTGTAACTATGCCCATAGTCGGCCTGCTGCTGCTGCAGCTGCTGCTGCTGCCGCTGCTGCTGCCGGCTGCTGCTGCCGCTGCTGATTTTTCTGTGGCATGTTTTCACCTTGTGCAGCAGCGGACAAGGCAGATTGCGCAAGGCGGCTAGAGGGAACCGGCCAGCGCGGGGGCGAAGGAGAGGCAGAAGAGGGGGGAGCAAGGAAGGAGAGGGGCCCTGAGGCGGATCGAGTATGGCCAGTTCGGGACGTTCGGTACTGTTGTGATGTTTCAGACGGTTGGGATGGCCGCTGCTCATTCGCTCGGTGATAAGGCTCAAAATGTTGTTGCCTTCGCTGCTGGTCTCTTTGCTTCTGCTGTTGCTCCCCCTCTTCTTCCTCCTCTTGCTGTTCCTCATCCTCCTCCTGCTGCTGCTGGGTCTGGCCCGACCACACCAACTGCTCCCTTCCTGCCTTGTTCCGGGCGTTTCTCACTGCTGCAACACCAAGATTATAAGCGCTGCCCTTCCCAGCAGCGCCGCTCTGATACTCATAGCCACCACCATCAACAGAGCCCTCTCCATCCGCGCTATAGCCACGAACAGGATAATTATAGCCTTGCTTCGCAACAGGAGCATTGAAGGGACGTGAAGGACTGTTGCCCGCCTGAATGACGTGGGGAGAGCTGCCGCGGGGAGCATGGTTCTCGCGGCTGGGGCTGCACACCTCCGGCAGGATTTGAACCCGCGTCTGCAACAGCAAGTTTGGCGATTTCTGCGGCGGTCATGGAGACAGAGCGGTGGCGATGGCGAGCGAGAAGGGGCCTGCGGTAGGACTGCAAGGCGAGGGGTGGAACAAATGGGACAGAGGAAGCGTATCAGTGGGTGGGACCATGCTTCATGCGTTGCTGGAACGTTCGTTTCGTTTGTTTCTATTCTCGCTTGGTGCGAGTGAAGCTACTTTTTGCTACGGAGGTCAGTTTCTTCCGTTCGCGACAAAGGATCATGGGAGAAAGCGGAAGCAGGGACGAAGTGAGGAGGAAAATAAGACGCACCTCTCTCAAGCCGCCACCAGCAGCAGCAATACCGCCCATCCCCCCACCACTACTAGCAGCAGCTGAAGCAGCAGCAGCAGCAGCGGCGGCGGCGGCAGCAGACGCTTCATCCGCCACGGCAGCGAGAGCGGCAGATAACCCTCCCCGCGAATACGACCTCCCCCGGTCGAACCCTGCCTTGACTGCCAGGGGAGGCCCCTCCAACAGCATCTCGTCGAGCAGCATCGACCCGCCTCGCGACTTGCGCCGCTCCTTTCCCCGTGCAGCGGCGGCACCTGGTGACGGCGGCGCAGCGCCCGAAGTTGACGCTCTGGGCAACTCCAGCAACCCCGCGGAGACGGACGGACTTGGGAGAGTGGAGGACCTGGGCGTGACTGGCGGCTGCTCTGCCGCTGCTGTTGCCGCCACGGCCATCGCTCCTGAGGCCAATTCGTCCGTTACTAGTAAAGCGCCTCTCGACCTTCGCCTTTCTCTACGTTCTTTCGTGATTCCAGCTCCAACCGAGGGGTCCGCTGGAGTCCGCGTGCGAACGTTTTGAGAATCTCGCCGTGCTGGCGAACTGTTTGCTTCTGTGTAACCCTGCTTCTCCTCCGTGATTGGTTTCTGGGACGTGGTACGGCGTCTTTCGGCCATGATTTTGCCCGGCTTGTTTGCTACAGCTACTCCTGACAGGCCAGACGAGCCGTCGCCTACGTTTTCGAATTTACCTAATTTGACATGCCTGACACGCGAAACTTGCAGGTTCGCATCGTCAAGATTATTCTCCAGGAGGAAGATGTGCGGGGCTTCACAGGCGGCAGCCATTCATGTGCGTCACCAGTCGCATCCAGGGTACACACTCGAAGGGTAGCTTCGAACAAGAACCCGTTCACACACTCGCAATTGCTTGAGTGATTCTGTCATCGACTAAGAAAAACGCCGCTGCGTCTCGAAGCTACCATGTTCACAAGGTTCAGCAACCAAGTGTGCTCGGAACGGAAGTGCGCATCGTTATGGCAGTAAAATGGTAAGGGAATAGCAGACACGGAGTCTTCGTAGACTGAAGAAGTGAAACCTCAACACGTCGCTGGCGATGCGACGTGGGAGTTCTTTCTTGACCTTGGAAGAGAATCTCAGACCCCCGAAGGACAATCTCGAAGGACCCCTTGCCTGAGATTCTCGAGGCTCTCGCTCGAGTCTCGCAGGACTCGATCGCGCTAGTGGGGTCACTCGCATCGCAGGCACCGACTTGGGCAGATTGCTGGTGCCAGCCAGGAAGGCAATCTCGAACAGAGCCTCCTTCCCACACCCCCCCCTCTCCTGCCCCAGTTTCGCTGGTGGATGCAGGATCTAGGGTAACCAGTCGCGGCCTCATGCCGCAACGCGTAGGGCCAACTCGAACAGTTCGTCATTATTTCGCCACACCTCGCTGTCAGCCTTCTGACCGGCCAGAAACAGAATGCCCCACTGACGCGAGCCGCAGTTGGCCAACTGCTGGCGTGGCCTCGTAACATGGCGCCACATGTGATGGGTGTCTGCACAGTGGAAGGCGCTGTTGCAGATTCGCAGCTAATGGGCAACTGGGATGAATTTATCGTTCTTGCACCAACCTTCTAAAGAAAAGCGTAGCCATGGGTGGTCATATAACCAGACACATTACACCTCAAACACACATAGATATCACAACCATGACAACCTCGAGACCGCCATGGCTGATCCCGAGGCCTTCACACGTGCCAATGTCTAGCAATTTCTTGTCATTTGTTGATACGGAGCCTAGATTCGTACTCCTTAAGACTAGGAACCGATGGTACACTTTTTGTGTTCACTACTCGAACATTGACCATTCGGTCTAATTGTCAGACACTCTCCAGGTTCAGTTTAACAATGAAGTATGCTGGATGCGCGAAGGTAACCGTCTCCCCCCGGATATAAGCGCCACCCTAGGATAAGCGCCTGGCGCTTCTAATTGGCATATGGCGCTTATATCCCCTCCTCGATTATAAGCGCACCCCTTGAAAAAACTTGTTTTATTATAAGCGCACGTAAACTTTAAAATTTGAAATGTGTTCAAAAAGCTGTAACGATTTTTACTTTAGCAGGCGGATATGTTGCAGAATCGGTTCCCTTCACATTCGGACCCTGCACTGGATGCGGGTCCAGTCAGCAGGACCTGTCAGGAGCTGGATTGTGAGTCAGATTGGGTGTATCTCCCAGCGCGCGCCGAGAATTTCACAGACGATCCCATGTAACTTCGACTCGATTGAAAAGGCAAGCACGAGACCTACAGTTTTGGTGTTAAAAGATATAAAAAAATATGTATGTCATTTTATAAACGCCGGCGCTTATAAATTTACTCGATTATAAGCCCACCCCCATGAAAAAACCTGTTTTATTATTGCCCCCATGGGGGTATATCCGGGGGGATACGGTACCAGGGAGCCTGGAATGGCTATTATCAAGGTTACAATGCTCGTGGCGCGTCACAGGGAGGCTTTCTGCTATTTATACAAGCATTAGTGGAGGACAGACACAAGTCAAGGAAGGGGCTTCCAGTGCTCAGTTTCTTGCTGCTCTTTGTTGCTATGCTCTCCAGCAGCTATTCTCATCATCACGCTATGGCTTCCTCCAAAGGGGACTCCTGCCTTGAACGCTCCAGGAGCTGGTCTTCACGACAAAAGCCAACGGATGCTCGTCCTGAACTGGTCACCCCGAATACGCTTTTCAATGGTGTGACGGCTCCACGCGGGGATGACGTTATCAACACGCAGACAGCTCGTACGTCGGCATTACGCATTAATGACCTGCCACAGGGGAGCAACAGGTCTGGCAGCGATAAGGAGAATGGCAAGGCACCGGCTGACTCGAACGAGCTGGACAAAGGGAAGGCAAAAGTTCAGGATGCGTAAGAGGACTGTGGGTACCAAAGTGTCAATCCGGATGAATGTCAGGACCCGGCAGTGCTGAACGAGATCGCGGCGCAAGCAGGTGTCGCTATTATGTTGCTGGTCCCCTTCAACTGGAGTAAGGAGATCCCGCCCATCATTAGTACGATCTACTACTTGCTGAGGATGTAGGGGAAACACATGTCGGAGAACGCAGGGACGACGACGAGGTGTCAGCAGCTCATTGCGACCTTCCCTCAAAGCAAAATTTCGGATGCATTGAAGTGGTGATTCTGCAAGAGTCTGACGCGAAGTTCATGCATAGCAGGGAGATTGAACATTACACAGCAAATGAGAAGAAGCTCACGCTCTGCTGGCTGCATCCGGAAAATCAGGAGTATTTGAGGGAACGCACGGCTCACCCGGTGGTGATTGAGATGCTGCTTAAAGGGGTCCTGGCGGTGATTTCACCGGCGAGGATCAAGAAGAACCTGGTGACTGCGGTGCTGCTGAAGCAAGGCCAATTGACTTTCATTGATGGATCGGGTTTCCACCGTGTGCTAGATCCGGTTTCAGGGTCAGACATGGACCAGATTAAGGGCCTGGTTTTCAGGCACCCGGGTGGTGACCTTTTTCACCCACAAGACCGCCGGCTGGCACTGGGAAAAAGGCAGTAAGAGGTGAAAGGCGATAGCTGAAGTTTTCTGGGAGTCTCCTTTCGCGGACCTTCCAGCGCCGTCCAATGGTTGGGAGGTCGAGCGGGAGCTACTCTGTTTCAACCGACGCATCATGTTCCGGGGGGAGAGTCCGTTCGGGAACCAGCAGGGGCGGTTGGAATCCGGACAACCAGGCTTGGCGACCTGCTCACTACCAGGGAAGACGAAAGCAAAGAAATTAAAGACGTCAAGGAGCTGAGGGCAGATTTTGGCAGTGTGGCATCGGTGAGATGGGCGATAAAAGCATACGAGGCGATCCCTGCCGAATGGAAAGCAATGCTGGCAGCACAGAAATCAGCGGGTGCAGTGGTGGCGGCAACGAAAGTGATACAAACGATTCTGGCACGCACGCAGGAGTTCCTCTACTGGACGGTGCGAGGGGTCAAGGACGTTGGTGTGGCGACAGACCATTTGGACTGCCCCGACGGCAAAAACCTGGTAGCACCGCAGAGGCCTTTCGCGGTCACCTTCTCTGTCCAAAGCATGGCGTCGGTGGCGGTCACAGGAGGCAGAGTGCTCGGCGCGATGGGCGAGCCGAGAGTCAAGCTGTGCCAAACTAATGAGGACTTCAGGCCAGCAACACCTAAGGTGATAAGGAGGGTGTTGGCGGGGCCGGTAACGGAGTCGAGGCGGAGGCATGAGTGGGAAGAAGAGTGGGGAAACAAGATCGATTGGAAGGTGGTGAGGGAGAGAAGAGACTCACAGGCAATCCCGTACAAAGCACGGGATGTGGTTTTGAAGATGCACAACAAGATTCTACAGGTGGGGGAGAGGCTGGTGTTTCTTGGTGCCAGGGGTTGCTGCCCGCACTGTGGAGAGCGAGAAACCCTAGTTCACAGCATGCTCACTTGCCCGGTCATCCAGCCAGTGATTGGCGCGCTGCTGAGGTCGCTGAGAATCATGAATCTGGCGGATCAGACGAGTTCGCTAGGTGACATGCTGTTTCAGGAGGGGGCTACGAAGTCCGGGTTTCCGGGGGCAACTTTGACAGCAGTGACGTGTCAAACATTATATATGTTGTTGTAGTTGTTTAGGCTACAGTGGGTTAGCCTATAGGGGGTACACATTCCTAGGTTTTGATACTTGTACTCATTTCACTCTTAGTTTCATTCATTCTTGTTCAACTTGGTATAGAGCAGGTCCTTCCTAGGACCGATTTTCTTTTAGGGCCCACCACTACCTACCTACCTACCTACGCCCTAGGGCGCCTCGGCTTTCACGCCCCTAGAGGCCCCGTCGGCCCCGCGCTCGTCCTTACCGGCCCCGATCGGCCCCGCGCTCGTCCCTCACGGCCCCGATAGGCCCCGCGCTCGCCCTTAGAGGCCCACGTCGGCCCCGCGCTCGTCCCTTACGGCCCGATCGGCCCCGCGCTCGTCCCTCACGGCCCCGATAGGCCCCGCGCTCGCCCTTAGCACCCACGTCGGCCCCGCGCTCGCCCTTAGCACCCACGTCGGCCCCGCGCTCGTCCCTCACGGCCCCACCCGCTCCCCGCGCTCGCCCTTAGCGGCCCCGAACGGCCCCACCCAGACCGAGCAGCCCGAACCGAGCCGACCCGAGCCGCCCAGCCCTAACGGAACGGAGCCGCCCGACCCGAGCCGCCAGCCCTAACCGACCCGAGCCGCCCGAACCGAGCCGCCCGAACCGAGCCGCGCCGCCCGACCGAGCCGCCCGAACCGAGCCGCGCCGCCCGACCCGAGCCGCCCGACCCGAGCCGCGCCGCCCTACCTATACCGAGCCGCGCAGCCCTACCTGTACCGAGCCGCGCCGCCCTACCTACCCTACTGCTCCTACTGCTTTTCCTACTGCTGCTACCATGGCTAGCCCTCCTGTCCTAGCCTTCGATACTGAGGGCCGCCCAGTGAAGTTCGACACCTGGCTTGATGACCTACACCTCTTCCTACAGCTCACTGCCAAGGAAGACATCTCGCTGTACGATCATGCCTTAGGCCACGCTACTGCTCCTGCTGCTACTGCTGACAGCACTGCCCGCTCACAGTGGCAGACTCGTGACGTCCATACTCGCTTCGCTATTCGCAACTCTCTGCCGATAGATGAGCGCGAGCACTTTGGGCAGCACAAGACTGCACAGGCACTGTACACTACTGTCGTTGCCCGCTACTCCTCGCCGGCCTCTGCCGCTCTAGGCCGTCTCTCTCTTCCCTACCTGTTCCCCGACCTAGCTTCCTTCCACACTGTCGCTGATCTCATTACCCACCTCCGCACTAGTGAGGCTCGCTTCCGCGCCGCTATGCCTGATGAGTTCCTTGCCAAGAACCCACCCCCGCTCTGGCTCACTCTCTACCACCTAGTCACGCGCCTCCGTGACACTCTACGCTCAGTCAGGGACCACTTCCTAGCTCGCTGCCCCACCGAGCTCACCATTGCCCTCCTCGAGAAGGAACTGCTTGCAGCTGAGGCTAGCATAGTCGCTGTAGGTGCCTCTCGCGGTGACCCCCGTACCCCGTTCTTTGAGGGGTGTTCTCCCTCCCCCCTTCTTCCCTCTGTCGCCTCTGCTGCTGCTGTCGACCTCCTTGGTGCTGAGAAGGTCGGGACTGCGTCTGCTTTGAGTGGGCGCCGCAGCGGCAAGGGCAAGGGGGGCAAGGGCGGTGGTGGTGATAGCGGGGGTGGCGGTGGTGGGGGAGGTGGTGGTGGCGGGGGGGGTGGCGCGGGTGGGGGAGGTGGCAGCAGTGGGGGGGGTGGCGGCAGCGGCGGGGGAGGTGGCCGGGGCGGAGGAGGTGGTGGGGGTGGCGGTGGACGAGGCAGCGGCCGGGGTTGGGGTGGTCGAGGAGGTGGTAGCGGCGGTGGTGGTCGTGGAGGCGCTGGCGGTGGCCAGGGCCAGCAGCACACTCCGTCGCCCCAGGAGGTCCGTGAGTGGTACTCTCAGCACGGGGGGGGGGGGTGGCCTTAGCTGCACGTACGTCATTCGCACTGGTGACCGCACTGGCCAGCCGTGTGGGGGACCGCACGCCACACAGCGTTGCTTCGCTCGTCTGAACGACGCTTGGCGTGTTCAGTTCCCTCAGGCCACTGAGCTGCCCCGCTGGGTTGATCTCCTGAAGAAGGAGATTGATATTTATGCTCTAGACTTTGATGCTATTCTCACTGCCATGTATGTGATGTTTACTAGTGGAGAGGGTGCTGAGTACCTGAGTGTCCCGCCCGACCCGGGCATTAGGACTAGTGCGTCTGCCGCTCCAGGTACTCGCGTGTCCGCTACCCCAGGTGCTGGTGAGGCTGCTGCTCTAGGTGCGTGTACGTCTGCCCCCCCTAGTACTGTGTCGACTGCAGCACTGCACACCTTCACACTGGATTCAAGTGCCTCTCGCTGTTTCTTTCGTGACCGCACTGCCCTTGAGCCCCTTGCTCGGCCAGTTGCTGTCTCCCTCGCTGACCCCTCTGGGGGTCCGGTCCTTGCGACCTCCTCCACTGTCCTTCCCTGTCCTGCGGTCCCGTCGGGCACACTGTCAGGTCTCCACCTCCCCTCGCTCTCTACGAACTTGGTGGCAGGTTGTGCACTACAGGACGCGGGTGTTCACCAGTTCACCCCTGCCTACGAGCGTGTCACACACTGCACGTGTGCCCGTACAGGCCGCCACTTGGCTACCTTCACCCGGCAGCCGGGGTCGGATCTGTACACACTGACTACTGCCCCCCCTCAGGTCGCTGCGTCTGCGTCTGCGTCCGCGTCAGGTCAGCTGTCCGCCCCCTGCTCGTGTCGCTCTCTAACGCACGAGACTGTCCTCTGGCACCACCGACTGGGCCACCCGTCTGTGCAGCGCCTTCGTGCCATGCACTCCCGGTACCTTGTCTCTGGTCTTCCCAGGGTCCTCCCTCCCCTCCCACCCTCGCCTGCTCCTCCCTGTCTTCCCTGTGTCGAGGGGCGGCAGCGCGCCGCTCCTCACTCCTCCTCGTTTCCCCCCCCGACGACTGCTCCTTTGCAGACGCTCCACATGGACGTGTGGGGCCCAGCCCGCGTCCGTGGTCAGGGTCAGGAGAGGTACATCCTGATCGTTGTTGACGACTACTCGCGCTACACCACGGTCTTCCCCTTGCGAGCCAAGGGTGAGGTCCCTGATGATTTGATCCCTTGGATCCGCAGAGCTCGTCTCCAGCTCAGCGAGCGTTTCCGCTCGGACTTTCCTGTCCTGCGCTTGCACTCTGACAGAGGTGGTGAGTTCTCCTCCGACCTCTTGGCAGCCTACTGTGCTGAGCACGGCATTGAGCAGTCGTTCACTTCACGCTTGCGGCCTCTCCACAGCAGAATGGTATTGCGGAGCGCCGCATTGGCCTGGTCATGGAGGTCGCTCGTACCTCCTTGATCCATGCGGCTGCCCCCCACTTTCTGTGGCCGTTTGCGGTCCGGTACGCTGCGCATCAGCTCAACCTCTGGCCCCGTGTCTCCTTGCCGGAGACCTCGCCCACACTGCTGTGGACGGGGGAGGTTGGCGATGCGTCACGTTTCCGGGTCTGGGGATCTCGAGCTTTTGTCCGCGATTCGTCTGCGGACAAGCTCTCCTCTCGTGCTGTTCCCTGCGTCTTCCTCGGCTTTGTTCCGGACGCGCCTGGTTGGCAGTTTTACCACGCCACCTCGCGCCGGGTCTTGCCCTCTCAGGACGTCACTTTTGACGAGTCTGTCCCCTACTACCGCCTCTTTCCCTACCGCACTTCCCCGCTCCCACCCCCGCCTCTCTTCCTCGCGCCAGGTGCTGCTGTCGTAGACCCCCTCCCCCCTCAGGGTGCCGCTCCCTCAGGTGTGTCTCAGGTAGACCCGGTCGAGCCTGTTGAGGTTGCTGTCGAATCTCGTCCTGCTGGGGGTGCTGAGCCTGGGGGTGCGGAGACTGGGGGTGCTGAGCCTGGGGTGCTGACTCTGGGGGTGCTGAGCCTGGGGGTGCGGACTCTGGGGGTGCTGAGCCTGGGGGTGCGAACAATGGGGGTACTGAGCCTAGGGGTGCTGAGCCTGGGGGTGCTGAGCCTGGGGGTGCGGACACTGGGGTACTGAGCCTAGGGGTGCTGAGCCTGGGGGTGCGGTGACTGGGGGTGCTGTGCCTTGCGGTGCTGGGCCTGAGGGTGCTACACCTGGACGCGACCTCTCCTCGGAGCAGTTGCGTGAGTGGTACTTACAGTACTGCAGCCTCCGGAGTGTTACCTCTGGGACCAGGCGCACTACAGGGACTGGGGCTGGTACTTCTCCTCCTAGTCGGGAGCTCCCCTCTCGTGAGCGGATCCGTGAGTGGTACGAGCGCCGTTGCACACTTCGGAGTGGTGCGCCTCATCTCACGGACCCGGCTGCCCCTGGTGCTACGGACCCGGGCGTTGGAGCTGCTGTTGGTGCTGCGGACCCTGGCGTTGGAGCTGCAACTGGTGCTGTGGACCCTGGTGTCGGAGTCCCTGCTGGTGCTGAAGACCCGGGCGTTGGAGCTGCGGCAGGTGCTGTGGACCCTGGTGTTGGAGCCACTGCTGGTGCTGAGGACTCGGGCGTTGGTGCTTAGGCTAGTACTGAGGACCTGGGTGTTGGAGCTGCTGCTGGTTCTGGTACTGCCGCTAGGGGTACAGGTGCTGTCTCTGCTGTGTCTGGAGTCGCCGCGCGCCCTCAGCCGTACTTCGTTCCGCTCCTTCAGCAGGTTCTTGGTCTCTCGCCCTCCTCCTGGTCCTCCTCCCTTAGCGTGTTCACAGCCTGTCCCGTCACAATTAGAGTTGCAGCCGGCCTCCCCACTACCTGCTCCTTCTCCTTACACTGGTCCTACTGGCGGTCTTACTGAGCGTCGTGAGTCTGCGTCTCGTCCTGCGTCGCCTGTCTTCCTCCTGCTAGCGCTAGTGCTCGTAGTTCGCGCCAGCGTCCTCCTCCTGCCCCTGGCACGCACCGGATGTCTCTACGTCCGTCTACTGCTCCTCTGCGTGCCCCTTTGCCTTCTCCTCCTGCGTCCTCTCTTCCTGCTCTCGCCGACCCTGAGTCGGACTCTCTTCGTGCTGCCAGTCCTACTGTCACGCGTCTCCTTGCTACTGTTGTCACTGACCCTTCTTTCGAGTCTACTGCTGCGTCTGCTCTCGTTACTGAGCTCGTCGACTTTGTTGCTCGCTGTCGCTTAGACTACGCTGCTAGTCTTGTCGCTGAGTCTGAGTCTGTCTGTCCTCCGTCCGTCGGGGGTGAGTGCCCTTGGCACAGACGTCCTTGAGGACAGGCAGGAGGAGTTCCAGTGTCTGGCAGCTGCTTCACCTCATCTCGTGTCCGTACTGCTTACCCCTGAGGGAGACCCGGATGCACTTGACATCCCGACTCCGCGCTTTTACGCGGAGGCGATAGAGGGTCCCTATTCCTCTCAGTGGCAGGTAGCTATGGATGCAGAGATGGCTTCCTGGAAGTCCACAGGCACCTACGTTGACGCGGTCCCCCCTCCTGGGGCGAACATCGTCAGTGGCATGTGGATCTTCAGGGTGAAGCGGCCGCCGGGTTCTCCACCTGTCTTCAAGGCGCGGTACGTGGCTCGTGGCTTCAGTCAGCGACAGGGAGTTGACTACTTTCAGACCTTCTCCCCCACCCCGAAGATGACCACTCTACGGGTACTGCTGCACGTTGCTGCTCACCGGGACTACGGGCTGCACTCTCTCGACTTCAGCACAGCTTTCCTGCAGGGCAGCCTGCACGAGGAGATCTGGCTGCGCCGCCCACCTGGCTTCACTGGGTCTTTCCCTCCTGGTACCCAGTGGAGTCTCCGGCGTCCAGTCTACGGTCTCCGCCAGGCGCCACGTGAGTGGCACGACACACTGAGGACTACGCTTGCGGCTCTTGGGTTCGCTCCGTCTACTGCCGACCCGTCGCTGTTTCTGCGCACCGACACCTCTCTGCCGCCGTTCTACATCCTCGTGTACGTCGACGACTTGGTCTTTGCCACAGCTGACACTACTGGACTCGCCTACGTGAAGTCCGAGCTGCAGAAGAGACACACGTGCACATACCTGGGTGAACTGCGCAGCTACCTTGGCTTGCAGATCACCCGGGACAGAGCACGCCGCACCATTACCCCGACTCAGTCACACATGGTGCAGCAGGTCCTTCAGCGCTTCGGCTTCACGTACTCCTCGCCTCAGGCCACTCCTCTGTCTACTCGCCACTCGCTCTCAGCTCTGCCTTCGGATGAGTCCGTAGAGTCAAGTGGCCTGTATGTAGAGCTTGTTGGCTGTCTCATGTACCTGATGACCTGCACACGACCTGACCTTGCATACCCTCTTAGCATTCTTGCACGCTATGTTGCTCCTGGGAGACACCGACCAGAGCACATGGCTGCAGCGAAGAGGGTGTTGCGCTACTTGTGCAGTACGTCGGGCATGGGGCTAGTGCTTGGAGGGCGGAGTCTAGTGGTCCTCACTGGACACGCAGACGCTTCTTGGGCTGACGACCAGGCTACGCAGCGGTCGTCACAGGGTTACACCTTCAGCCTTGGTTCCGGCTCTGTTTCGTGGCGGGCTACTCGCTCGTCTTCTGTTCTTGGTTCCAGTTGTGAGGCTTAGATCTACGCAGGGGCCATGGCTGCTCAAGAGCTTCGCTCCTTACGATGTGTAGGATCTGGTTGGCCAACATGACGACATGACGATGACGATGCGTAGGATCTGGTTGGCCAGGGTGGATGCGGTGTACTGGAAAGATAAGTTCCAAAGGAAGAAGGTGGTGTGGGCGGCAATATATGATTTCATGCGGCATGCGAGGCTCTACAGGGTGGAAAAGTTGAGAAAGCAGCAAGGGGGAGGGGTCAATGGCCAACCACGAGACCCGTGGGAGGCCTGGCAGGAGAGAAGAAGCGACGATTGCGAGGATCCGCGAGGCAGGGGAGCAGCCACGTAAAAGGTATGTTAAGATAGTAGGCTTAGAGGAAACTTAGGTTTTAGGAAGAGAGAGGAAGTTTGGTCAAGAAAGGAGGGTTAGACTATAGAGAGAGATACAAGATATAGGGCAAGGGAAGGTGGCCAAGGGGGGTATACCACCAACTATGGAAGAGATACTACACTAGCTACTCTAATATCAATTATATGTAGAAATACAATTTGTGGCATCCCCCCTTTACTGCATACAAGCATAGCTAGTGAGTGTGAAAGTATTCTAGTAGCAAGTCTTAGGAGCCATGGCGAGTTGGGTAGGAGCGGTTGAGTTCGAGTGAGTTTAGGTGAGTAGGAAGATTGCAACAAAAGAGGGGGTTCACTATAGAGCAAGCAGTACAAATAGGCAAGAATGAAGAAAGGTTCACCACCAAACAGAAAGTCATATGACTATAGTAGTCTACACTACAAGCAGTTACAAAACAATATATAGAATTATATATTATTCTGACACGCCCCCTAAGTGCATGTAGGGAAGAATGTGCAGTCAACGCCCCCATAATGGGGTACACCAGACAGGCAAGTGCAGTGGAAACCGGTGCAGTGATGGCAGATCCAGTTGTACCAACCCCTTTACGAAGGTAAAAACAGTAGCAGGTGTTGGGGCGGCAGGTCGCCTGAGGAGCAGGCTCTGTGGCTGCAACATGCAGCAGGAGAGCAGCGGCTCGACGGCAGCACCTGCAGGCCCCAGCAGTAGGTAGCAGAAGCAAAGACAACAAAAGGCAGGTGGTAGCAGGGGCGGCAGCTAGAGGTGCCACGGTAGCAGCGGGCGATAGCAGCAGATGACCTGCTGACTTCCGTCGCCCCCTCACTCCCCCCCCACAGCGGCATGTGCGGCAGTGAGAGAGAGAGGAGGGGCGGCAACTTCTTGCTCACACCCGCCACCCCAAAACCTCCCCCCCACACTGCTGCACGCGCAGCACGGAGAGAGAAGGGACGGCGTGTGGCGGCGTAGCGGTGTGGCGCAGCAGCGAACAGAGTGGCGGCAACCACCCTCGCGCCTCCCCCTCCCCCCCCCCACACCTTCGTCCACAGCGGAAGACACGGCAGCAGGCGTGGTTGGCGTTGGCGAGATCGCGGGTAGGGGGGAGGAGTAACGGGGGGGTGCAACAGGTGCCGCGACGAGCGCCTTAGTACAGCTCGCCGTCGCTTGCGTGGCAGCTGCAGTGGCAGCAGCCGCATGTTCGACGGGAGGGCGGGGCAGGGGGCACGTTTGGCGACTGAAGCAGCTCGGCCGCCACACGGCCATCTCCCCCCAAAGCGACCGTCGATGCAGACGATCGGGGCCGCGACAGGGCGTGACGAGGTTGCAGGAGGGCGCGATAGGCAGGCGACTGGGCCGCCGACGAACAGCACTAAGCTCGCCACGGTCGACTTCGCAACCTTCACGACGAGCGGCTGAACGGGCACAGCTGGGGCCGCGACGAGCGCCATGGCAGGAGCGAGCAGGTCCTAGGATAGGAACCACTCTGATAACATGTGAAAGTATTCTAGTAGCAAGGCTTAGGAGCCATGGCGAGTTGGGTAGGAGCGGTTGAGTTCGAGTGAGTTTAGGTGAGTAGGAAGATTGCAACAAAAGAGAGGGTTCACTATAGAGCGAGCAGTACAAATAGGCAAGAATGAAGAAAGGTTCACCACCAAACAGAAAGTTATATGACTACAGTAGTCTACACTACAGGCAGTTACAAAACAATATATAGAATTATATATTATTCTGACAGTGAGGGGCGCTCTACCCTAAGTGCAGTCATCACCGTGCCACAACTTGAACCACCGTGGTTGAACCCCCACGGCAGGTGCCGGTGTGTGCAACTCTGGGTGACCACGCCCAGAAACTACGGAGATAGGAACGAACCGCGAAACGACGAGAAAACATTACGAAGGAGAAAACAGAATAGAAGAAACCCTTTCTCTCACTCTCTCTCTTTCGTCCCCCCTTAACCTCTCTCATCCTCCCTTTACCTCTCTCCTCCCCCCCCCTACAGCAAACAGTGTTGCAGGAAGAGAGGAAGAGGGAAAGGAGGGACGGGTTGTTGGCGGTTCACACCCGCCACCCCCACATTCCCCCCCTCCCCCCATCCCCACAACGGAAGCCGCGGAAGGGGGGGGCGGCGTGAGCTGCTGTTGGCG